GATTTTAAACTCGGTTTCCTCACAACTCGTTTAATGGATTGGTTTATTATCAAAATGCGGATGAAGTATGGAAGGATTTGAAGGAGAGATTTGATAAACAACATGGAGCAAAAATTTTTGCCTTACATAAAGAAATTAATCTCGCTAACTCAAGGATCCGATAGTGTAGCAAGTATACTACTCCAAACTAAGGCAACTATGGGATCGGTATAATTCGTTAGTTCCTACTCTTATGAGTGTCTCGTCCAAGTTGTAGGAGTGAGATTACTCAATCATTTGTTGAATATATGCAACAACATAAAATGATGCAGCTTTTAATCGAATTAAATTACCAATATCAAGTTGTGAGGTCATAAATCTTACTAATGAATCTCATGCCCACTCATTCACAAGCCTACTCGATGATCTTAAATAAGGAGTCATAAAGAGGAGTTGCACCACATCAAGATGTTCCTATTTCCTTTTACTGCGTCCGACAAGGGAATCGGTATAGACCATCCCTTGACAAAGCTCTTGGCACAAGGAGATGAATTATGATTATTGGCATTTTTCAAGACATAACAAGGATAATTGTTATAATTTACATGGATATCCCAATGCATCTAAGAGATTTTATGGAGTTAATAAAGGCGGATAAGGTGGCAGTGGCTCTAATTTTGGTGGGGATAGACGAGAGATAGTACAATGCTCATAATGGCGGATGTATGGGATAGGAGTCCATTTCGAAGATCACCATTCTAGCTCACAATCAATAGCCATTATGACATCTCCTCCTGTTTTTTCATAGTCATAGTATCAACAAATCTTAGAGTCGCTATCAAAGAATGGTTCATCCAAGAAGCCTCCTATTAGCATTGAGCTAGCTATAAACATGGTCGGTGAATTTTTTTACGAGTCTTATTAATGTTATATCTACTCGCTAATGAATGGATCATGGACACAGGAGCTAATGTTCACATGACTGCTATATTCAATTACTTGGAAAATCCTAGAAAGTTAGTTTCAAACCTCACTTTTAGGTTACCTAATGGCACTCAAACTCAAGTTTCTCATATAGGATCAGTTTTCTTTTCACACATAATTCTTCATGATGTCTTATACATCCTCGATTTTTGATTCAATTTATTGTTAGTAACTAAGTTTACTACTAACAACAATTGTTTTGCTTCCTTTTATCAACATCTTTGTTTGTTTCGGGAGCTCACCACTAGGAAGACAAAGGGGATTGGCAAAGTTAGAGATGGTTTATATCATGTCATGTCAAATTTGTTTAGTCTAGTTTCCAATTTAGCCTTCTTCAATTGTATGTATCCTCAATCTAATACTACTGTAAACGAAGTTTTTCCAACATCTTGTCATACAATTACTTGTAATTCATCATCCAATTCGATAATGTATTACTTTGGCATAAACGTTTTGGCCACATTTCCATTTCCGGACTTCAAATGATTTTTGGAATTTCAATATCTCAAACTAATATGCTCGTGTGATATGTATCCCCTTGCTAAACAAACTAGACCACCTTTCCCACTAAGCATTTTTATTTCTCGCAGTATATTTGAGCTTATCCATTTTGACATTTAGGGTCCTTGTGAACACCCTACATATAATCGGGAGAAGTATTTTCTCTCTATTGTTGATGACTTTTTCGGAGGGACATGGACATTCCTTATGCAAAATAAATTCCAAGCTTTCCTATTACTTAAACACTTTTATGCTCCGATTCTTACCCAATTTTCTTATCCTGTTAAGAGAATCAAATCGGATAGGGGATCCGAATTCTTGTAACAAACTTGTCAAACTTTCTTCTCTACTAAAAGCAATATCCATGAAACCATTGTACCTTATACTCCATAAAAAAAATGGTGTTATGGAGAGAAAACACAAACACATATTAAACATAGCCAAAGCTATTATGTTCTAATCACATGTACATATTCAATATTGGGGTGATTGTATTTTAATATCCATATACCTTATCAACGAACACCTACACCACTCTTACATGGCAAAATTCCATTTGAGATCTTATTTTAGAAACCTCTAATTTTTTCTCATCTTAAGGTCTTTAGATGCCTATGTTATGCCAAAGTTCTACCTTGTACTTGACAAGTTTGCTCCTCGCTCTAGAGCTTGTTTATTTTTAAGATATTCTTACTCTCAAAAAGGGTATAGAGTCATGGATTTGAAGAGCAATTAGATATTTATCTCTCATGATGTTCTTTTTCATGAATCCATTTTTCCTTATAAAACATTTTTGTTATCTTCTAATGACCAGTTTAGTTATGCACCTCATACTCTTGTTTTTCATTGGCCATATAATGATGACCAATTATCACATTCACTTTCATCTACTCGTCAATTCTTCTTCTATTCCTTTGGCTTCTTCTTCACCTTCATCTCAGTCCATTCTTCCTATTGTGGTTCCTCTATGAAAATCTTCTAGGACTTCTAGAAATCTCTTCTAGCCTCATGATTATCATTGTCCTACATTACCTCGGTCAAATAATGCTTCTTCCTCTACTACTAGACATCCCATTTCACATTCCTTTTTCTCTTTGTTTTGTTTCTCCTTCTTATACAACTTTTCTAGCTTCTATTTCTCCTATTAGAGAACCTAATTGATATTTAGAGATCATTAAGGATCCTAAGTGGGTAGAAGCTATGACCAAGGAACTCTAAGCACTTGAATTAAACAGAACATTGGTTATGTTTAACTCAATCTCGGACAGAAACCTATAGGTTGTAAATGGGTTTACAAGATTAAATTCAATTCCAATGGGAGTATAAAGAGGTATAAAGCTAGGTTAGTGGCTAAAGGCTATACTTAATAAGAGGGAATTGACTATAGGGAGACATTCTCTCTAATAGTGAAAATGGTTATAGTAAGGATTACACTTGCCTTGGATGCTATTCATGATTGGCCTATTTTTCAATTGGATGTCACAAATGCCTTCTTACGAGTGTGATTTACACGAGGAAGTATATATGGTTTTACCTCCTGGACTTATCAATCGGGGGAGAATGCCGTGTGTAGATTGCTCAAGTCCTCTATGGATTGAAGCAAGCTTCATGTTAGTGGAACTCTAATTCATTGAGAAAATGGTTAAAGCTAGTTTCCTTTAGTCTAAACATGATTATTCAATGTTTGTAAAACAATAGAAGGTAAGAGGGTTATCCTAATGGTGTATGTTAATGATATTTTGATCACGAGAGATGATATGAAAGGGATAAACAAACTAAAAAGTTCTTATATGATATTTTTACGTCAAAGACCCGAGATATTTGAAATACTTTTTGGGAGTTGAAGTAGCTAGATCAAAAGAAGGGATTTGCTTAAACCAAAGGAAATATGTTTTGGAGTTATTCCAAGATGTAGGACTACTTGGTACAAAACCGAGTAGAAATCCCTCAGAGCGGAATCTAAAACTCACCATCGCCCAATATGATTTGTTTAAAGTGATTGTTCGGATGATACTCGCCAAACCCATCCGAGTATCAAAGACTAGTTGGGAAACTAATCTATCCGACAATAACAAAGCCGGATATATGTTATGCTATCTAAATTCTTAGTCGGTTTATGCCAAACCAAAAATGTCTCATATGTATTCAGCTCTAAGGATACTTAAGTATCTAAAAGGGAGTCCAGGACTTGGCATCTACTGTCATCTTCTAGTGATATAAGGCTTAAAGTCTTTTGTGATTTAGATTGGACAGACTTGCCCAATGACAAGGAGATCTTTGATAGGTTTTTGTGTTTTCCTTGGCAATTCATTACTATAATGGAAAACTAAGAAACAAAACACCATATCTCAATCTTCGACTAAAGCGGAGTATCGAGCAATGGCTTCAGCTACTTGTGAGATAATTTAGTTGATTGGGATGTTGAAAGAACTTAATTTTATAGATTTAGAACCAACGGAGGCTAGTTGTGATAATCGAGTCGCTCTACACATTGCTTCGAATCATGTCTTTAACGAAAGGACTAAACACAAAGATAGATTGTCATCTAGTTCGTGAGAAGTTGAAAGAAGGATTGATCAAGACCAATTTCGTCAAAATGAGAGATCAAGTTGCTGAGATTATCACCAAGATTCTTGGCGATAAGCAACACCAATTCCTCGTGTCCAAGTTGGGGATTTATGATTTGTATAAACCACCAACTTGAGGGGAGTATTAGAAGTTAGTTGTCCAGTTGTATAAATTAGCTAGGTAGTTAGATTAGAGTTAGTTAGTCCGTTAAGCATGTGAAATGTTGTGTGAGATACGGAGGATCATTCCTCCCTACTATATATATACTATGTATGCTTGTATAGTAAACAACACACAAAGTACAAGAAACACTTCCCCAATTTCTTCAACCAACACTTATAGTCTTTAATCTTTTTTTTTCCCTTTTCTTCGTTACAGGCATGATTATTGACTACTTCCCTTCTTCTCATCTTTTTTATTCATCAAAAACTAACATTAGTGGCTCAGCTTCGTTTCATATCCTCTTTGGTTTGCATAGCTTTGTGAGCAAGAACTTATCTTTTTAATGAACTTATCTTCTTCTTCTTCTTCTTCTTCTTCTTTTTTTTTTTTTTTTTTTGCCCCTTTCGTTGGTGTTTCTTCCGTTATTCAACGAAATGCATCAAAGTTTATCAAAGATCATGAAATTTATGGTGGCTTCTTAGTTTAATCCTTTCAGGGTTCTTGCTGTCCATCTTCAAGGAAAACAATATATACCAAAGTTGCATAATGGAAATCTCAAAGGCCAAATGATTATCTTCGATGCTAAGTCTTATCTGTAATTTATAGCTGGTTTCATAATTTGCAGACTCCTCTTTTTCCTTTCCAATGAAACAGAATTAATGAACAAATTATAGTTAATGGAAATTACAACACAGGATTTTGTTTTACTGGAGATAGAGGAGGATTCAGCTTGCGGATATCAACACCATAGGAATCCTCTTGATTATTCAATTAACAAGCTATATTTTAAGTCTTTTTCTTCATCAATGAATGACCAAACTTTCAATTATCAGACCTCACAAAGGTTCAGCAGTGCATCCTTTGGAACTTCTCAAGTCAGCATTGAGAGGCCTGCAAAACAGCCGAAGACTTCTCAACATGCTTCTCCTTCTTCCTCATCTGATACTATATCTTTTCACAACTCTAATTCACCTCCAGCTACTACTTCTCAACGGATCTATGGCCTGGGAAACTCAACTCTAGCTCCTAAGAATGATGTAGGATCTGATGGATATATAAATTACGAAATGATACAGCATGTTATGAGCAAGGTAGCAAAAAAGATTTCTGCAATAATGAGTAGGTCTGCTTTACGTGGACAAGACCATGTACTGGCGGAAAGAAAGCGTCGCGAAATGCTCAGCCAGAGATTCATTGCTCTTTCAGCTGTTGTTCCTGGCCTAAAGAAGGTATTTACAAAATTTCTGTGCCTGTGGAAGAGTAGAAATATTGACCATTATTTCTGGCCATGGCATCTTTTTGCTTAGTTAACAATACTGCATTGACTATTAACAGATGGACAAGACATCTGTTCTTGAACATACAACAAAGTACCTGAAGGATCTTCAAGAACGTGTGAAGACACTCGAGGGAAAAACTGCCAAGAAAACCATAGAATGAGAAGTTTTCGTCAAGAAGTCTCAGGTCAGTGATGATGAGGATTCATCTTCGACTGATGTGAACTCTGACGGCTGCTGCGACCAACCACTTCCAGAAATCGAAACAAGAGTTTCGGATAAGGATGTTCTTATTAGAATCCATTGCGAGAAGCAGAAAGAATGCCTGACGAAAATACTTAGCGAAATCGAAAAGCTTCACCTGAATGTCATCAACAGCTCGACCTTGTCCTTCGGAAACTACACCCTAGATGTAACTGTTGCTGCTGAGGTACGTCAAAATTTTGATTTCTTATGAGTTCTTTCGAGCAATATTAATTTTCTTAATTATTAAATCAAAATTTCATCCACCTTTGTCTTGCAATATGAGAGACTTTACATAGAATGACGATAATTTTACTATCTATGTATCATGGGGAGATACCCAAGCAGATGATTTATTTATTATTATTTTTTTTTTTTTTGTTTCATATGCTGATTAAGGTTGAGGCTCATCTCTTAAATTCAATGAAATTTATAAGATTTGATATGTTTAATAGGAAATGAATGAAATTAAAACCAAATTACATAGTTTGTTTTTCAGAAGTTGTGGACTCTTTCTTGGTAGCAATTTTGTCACAAAATCAAATTTTAATGCCTTTGTGTTATTTAAGTTTGAGGCTCACAGCTTTAACTTTGATGAAGCCTTATAATGTTATGTAACGTAAGATTCTCAACAAAAGAAAAATGTAAGGTTAGAAATTTTATTTCTTAGAAGCATATTGTACTGCAAGAGTTTATTTTTTAAATGTAATTGAAAGAATGAAGCTGTGAATTTTGAAATATTCATCTTTAATTAGTTTGAGAATAGTAATTGATTTTATTTAAAGTAACTTGGGGAAGATATCTCGGAATAATTACATTATTCTAATATAAATTCATCTCAGATTCCCTTTGATTTCTTGCAGATGGACGTTGATTTCTCAATGACAGTGAAGGATCTTGTGAAAAATCTACGACAGGCTCTCCTATAGAGTTGATGATCTCATGTGCCTTGATATATATCTTAGGTTTTACTTTCTGCTTTCTAATTTTTTAATTTTCAAAGATCTCCTGGTAGAATAATGGCCTTGTCTCTCGTCTTTAGATCATAGTTTCAATTGCAATATTGGCTATGTACATAGCAATTTTTTTAAGGGTTTTTTTCTGACTTTTAAATGAGAATATCGTTTTCTTCTCCACTTCAATTGTAGAGAGACGAAACGAGCTCTTTCTTGCAGGAGGTTAATTTGGTGTGTGCTTTCTAAGGTAATCTATAGCATACCTTGGGCCTTTGTGTATTCTTATGTTCTCAAAAAACAGTATAATGTCGCAGAAACTATATATACTTTTTTTTTTTTTCTCTCTTCACCTATAGCTGCATTTATTCACCAACTTGTATTTCTTTTTAGTTTTGAGAGGAGGAGAGGAGGGTTGCAAGTTCATGAGACAACTCTAATTCAATTGGTATTAATGTCGTGTTTATATATATATATATATATATATATATATATATATATATATATATATATATATATATCAAAACGTCTTGAATTCTAGTCTTTTATTTGTAAAAAAAAAAAAAAAATTGAATAATGTGATCTTTTGAAGGATATGGTTTCGTCGGAATTTACTAATTAATGTGAAAAAACAGGTATGTCTAACACGTATTTTAATTGGAATAGCTAGTTTAATCCAATTCAAAGATTTGAACATTTAATGTTTTCTTGTCATGATGCAATTTAGGTTTTTTTTTTTTTTTTTTTTTCCTTAGTGGTTCTTTAAGAAGTTGCTTGTAATTGATGTAATTAAGAATTTTGTGAAGTATGGATGGATTGGTTGTCATTATTGGATGAACAATATCAACCTCTTGGGAATAATTGGATGGGAATGATTGGTAAGTTTTGGGACAACCTCTGCCCCACCATAGATTGTGTGATCTGCCTTGTGTTATATAAGACCTAAGGATCATTCTATATAGGATATAGCAGCTGCATCAACAATTGGCCTTCTTTGGCAGCCGCTGCAGGTTTAGATGCTCCCTTCAAGAGAATAAGCCAGCTGCTTTGACCTAAGCCCCACCATCCTGGAGCAGGTGGTGTTTATGTCTATGAATTCGCGTTGTTGGCAATGAGCCAGGTCCTTGTGTTGAGACGATACAGAAGCCCAATTCAACCCTCCACGAACCCAATAGTTGAATTGGGTCAAGTGACGGATGTAATCTAGCAACTATGGAAAGAAAATAACACTTATTTTTTGTTCATCCATATCAAATATAAATTAAATTAAACAATATGATAAAATAATATTGTAATATGTGCAAAAACAATATAAATCTAAATATATAAATATAGTAATAAACCGGATCCAACAGCAACAGACGGGTCAAACACCAATTAATTACTTCATTTTAAGTCCAATTCAGGAATCCAATAATCTTGAAGTTAGCAAATTTTAAATGGTCTTTAAAAGGTTTGTTATTTTATTTTATTTTTTATTTCTCTTATATTTATATCATTACTCCACAGGATAAGTAAAACCTCCGCTATAAATATGAATAACTTTTTTCCTTTTTTAATAATGAATATGAAAAACTTCAAATTAATTTTAAAAACTTTTATATATGGTAAATGGGCATAACGGCCTTTTGGGATTAAGGCTTGTAATGGCAATCATTTATTTTCAATCCTTATCATACAGCGAAGGACCATCATTCATAATATATATGGTGAATGGGCCGGGGTAGGTTTTAAATTCATTTCACGATCAGAAACCCCTCTCTCTTTCTCAAACATAAAATTCATTGAAAAACATGTCGCTCATTTATCGAACTTTTTAGATACAGTTTCTACCTCTTTGGTCGCAGCCTGAGTATTCAACTAGGCAAACTTCATGCCATGCATGTTTCTGCCAAGCTCCCCGTTGAATCGTACATGTAAGATTTATGAAGTGTGAGCCGGTACTGTAACAGGATTAGCTCCCCATTCAGTCCAAGATCCAACATAGACTGCAACATCTGTCTTTGCAAGTCTTCGAGAGACCCTAAAATAGTTGAGGCTGAGTCATTAATTAGCTTTTTACGCGGAGTGGAGTACAAACAAGGGTAATGCATTCCAATCTTCAATGATAGATACCAGACTGAGAAAGCAACCAGTTCCGTGTGAAGTAAAAACATGGCTGTCCTGAGTGATCCCAGTTGTCAGATCCACAAAGCATTTACTAGATACAATTAGCTAATACTTATATAGTCCATGATAAAATAACGAAAATCCGGACCGATGGTAAATAATATAAATCATATTCTAAGATATTATCCAACAATTTAAAAGTTTTTTTAGTTAAAATAGTTCTTTAATATGCTATTAAATAGTTATAAGTTCAAACATTATAAAAAATAGGTAAATATTGATAGACATATTCGTCACTATTTAGGTATAGTAATGAGTAGCAACGAAAATAAATTGTCGGTAGCATGCTTATCCCTAAGTTTGTTAGTGATGCATTAAGTAGTTAGCGATGGACATTTTGTCGCTATTTTAAGATATTTTCATCACTATTTTGTTATAAACATTCATACGAATAATTTGAATCCTATCACTATATAATGACAAAAATCCATCGCCAAATGTTGTTGCTAATTTCGGTTGCTATCTCGTCGATGATATTGATTGCTAAAAGTAAGTTTTCGTTGCTATTATTTAAATTTAATTATTATTATTTTTGTCATTGAGGTGTCACTAATCCGTTGCTAAATTAAGGTTTTTCTTTTAAATTGTTAATAGACTATTAAATGTTTTGTCGTATTAGCTAACAACTAAAATTAAAATTATAACACGAAATATTATTTAATAATATTACATGAATATAAAATCAAATGCCATTTATAAAACAATATGATTCGGTATACGAACACATAAAATAAAAAGAATTTAAAAGAAAACTAGTCCTCATTAAGATCTTTTTTTGCTTCTTCTTCGGATGCTAGGTATTGGAAAGAAAATCAAACTCCCGGATAGGGGGAAGGGGAGGGTTAGAGGGAGGGACATGACTCTAGAGTGTTACCCCTAAAATTTGCTCTATCCTCTCCATCCGTTGCTACATACATTGGCTATCCTTCTTGTATTTGTTCTCAACCTTTTCAATCTGTCAAATATAGTTAAGTTCCATATCTTCCAAATTCTATTCAACCTAGTCATTATCTTGTCGCATATGACCGGAAAATCATGATGTGGCAGAGGTTGAGTCGGTGGTAGAACGAGGAGTAAAACGAGGGATATCTATGTTTTGAGATCGTACGCTCTACACTTCTTCTCCCCTCATATAGCTTCAAGATATATCTCGTGAAATATCGATGCCTATAGCTAATGAAGCAACTTCCAACTTTTGGGTAGCAGCTAAGGCACAAAATTGGTACGCTCTTACATAATCAAAAAAATTATAATATTAAATCATAAATATAATATTTTTATTAAATCTGCATTTGTGTAACTAAACTAACTCTAACTTTCTAGGATTGAAGATCTATGAACGACCTATCTTAGCGATTGTGAATCCTCACGAACAACTCAAGAATTTAGGTAACGACACAACTTCTTATCTTGAAAAAAAAAGTAAACAATATGAAATGTAATAAATAATCAAATATTAATTTAGAATGCAACGGCTAATAGGATTTACCATCCATTGAGTATGTTAAATTTGTGAGATGGAGCCCTCCGTATGTCTAGATGGCCTAACATCGGCACCATTCATCTTTATTTTATAGTTACGTGCCGTTTGTTCGGAATGGGCTCGAAACTCTTATGTGTTTCAATCCGACCACTATACATCCCACACCGATGTTGAGACAATGTGGGGTTTCTTGGTCTTTTTGTAGCTTATCGGCATGTCGACATATCACTTGCATGCTAGATGCTCTTATCCTATTTAGCCATCAAGTTGATAGTTTCATTTCATAAAAAATACTTCTACAAAGGAAAAAAATTAATAGTAGTATATTTCATTTTACTAATTTAAATATCATATAAATAAATAAATAAATTATTACTTTAAACTCATTTCGAGTATAAATCTTTTGTCTCTTTTGAGATTGACTTCCACGTCGAGCCGGAATGGTCCAAACGATCTTTGAAAATTTTCGTGATTCGAGTGGCAAACTTACTAGATGAAAATAAACTCGTCTAACACAACAAATAAAAAATCAATCAATTAATAGATATTTCAAATAATATAATAAAATGTAATACTAATTATCATATTTAAAACAAAGATAATTCTATTTGCAATCCTAGAAATATTACTTACACATCATCAATGACACAAATGGTCCGGTCATCATCGAACTATCACCAACGATAGAAGAAATCACCAATAAAACATTGGTTATCGTGCTTGGTTTTGGCACGGGAGCATCTTGAAGGGGAGTAAGTTATGGAGCAAGTAGGGACCATGGGGGAAATGTCACGAGCAATGGTGCCGATGGCAATGGTATTGCTTGTAATATCCATGACCTAAAACACTTCAAGAAATGTAAATGTATGGTATGGATATATTGTTTAATTAATGAAGGTGAATATGTTACATGTCCGAGTAAAGTTTGAAAATTCAATTAAAGATAAAATAAACATAAGAAAAATTAATAGAATGAGTTTATGGAATGAGAAAAGTTTAAATTAGGCAATGATACCTTTAATTGATATGGTTACGTATTACTATAGGGGTGCAATTACAAAACCTAAGGGTATTATCGTAAAGATTAAAGGTTTAAGTCCTTAATTGAAATAATTAAGAAACCTTTAGGACTTAAATTAACCTTGGGATTGGCCTAGGTGAGGGCCAAATTAATGAAAATATGAAGTTATAGACTAAAATTGTATGGCCAAATTGCAAGGATTAGAAGTATGAGTATTAAAGTGTAAAGTACCACTAATGTAAGGGACCCATTAGTTGAACTTAAGGGACAAAATGGCTTAGAAAAAATTTGGAATTCCACACTTGAGAGAGAAGAAAAGTTAGGAAGAGAGAAAGAAAAGGGAGAAAAGCCTAGGTCTAAAACCACTAAATCTAACCTTCTTAATTCACTTAAAAACATCTTAAATTAGCCTCCAAACCATCTTAAACGATCGGGGAAGGAGAAGGGAAGAATTCTTCACTTGGCTAAAATTTTGAAAGGAAGAGAAATGAAGGAGCCAAGGAGGAAGAAAAAGAAGAAAGGTCAAAATTCTAAGTGATGAGATGATAAAGATAAATGAAGAGTCACCACCAAGACAAGTGATGGACTTGCTTTTTTGTGTGCTTTGGGTAGTGAGTATGGGAATCTATATAGATTAACTTGATTTTTGGTATATATATAGCAAGTTAGGCTTTTTTGGTATATATGTAAATTAACTAAAAAAAATATTGTTTTGGTATAAATGAAAGATTATTTGAATGCCAACATGTTAGTTATACAACTTAGATGCTTAAAATGACTAATATGACTAGGATGATGTAATTGATAAGATCATCAAAATGGTTACAATTCAAAATAAAAAGTAAGGAATTAGGTAGAAATATTAAAACCAAGACCGAAAGAGAATGTAATAGCTAAATTATTATAAGAGGTTTAAAAAGAATTAGCAGAGGCTTAAAGGAAACCAATGAAATTAGTAAAGGTTTAATTGAACCTAAAGATAAAGAGGAAAAATTTATACCCAAATCATGTATAGTAGACCTAGTATCCCATACTCAATTGGGACCTAAAGTATGAAAAAATGTCCACTTTCACACATGCACTAGGAATGTCAAGGAATGAGGCTTCTTGGCTTGCATTCATTGCATTTGAAATGTAGGTCAATGTTGATAATATCCATGATTTATCTAAGTCTTAGGTAAATGATGCTTCAAAGCGGTATCAAAGCAAGGCTTACTTGAGCTATTTAAGGTAGGATGAACGAATAAGCACACACAAGTAATTTTTTAGTGGCAAATGAGGTTCAAAGATATATGATACTTGATAAGTGTATGTTTGCATTGATTGCTATGGAAAATGATTGG